TCAAAAATCTGGTCAGAACCTTAAAATCCGCATATAGGAAAAAAGGTCTAATTTTTCAGCACTACATTTTTGAACTTTGAGATAGCGAAATTCGTGATCAGCGTCGTCGACTTGTTAGTTCTAATCACTTTAAAAAAAAAATTTCAAAAAAAAAGTTTTTCGCATCCCCCTAGGGGGGTACGGGGGTCGAAAACCCGGAAGTGATTTTAAGGAAAATTAACATGCTAGATTTGTAGCCCATTTCGATCTTATAACACTCATATAGTTATTTCTTGAAAATATCTGGGGTTGGAAAATGGCCTTATCGACCCTCCTCCTTTAACAAATACAATAAAAGAAAATAACGGACAAGTTGAATTGACCGATGAATATTCAAATTTAAATAATTATTTACTCACTAAGAACAATAATTATACATTAGAAAGATTATTTTCAAATCGTATTCATATGAACTTAATTGTTAATGCGTCCAGTATGAAAGATATTGAAAATATTTTAAACAGAGATTATGAGCATTTTGAGAAGAATTTAAATAATGTACAAATTTTCATTTCAAAAGATATTTCAGATCATGTAAAATTGTTCGGTCTAATCATATGGTTAAAATATTATACTCATACATATGCTTATGCTCTTATTAATGATTCAAAACAAAAAATTATGATTAATATTGACAAATTATTATCCAATAATGATGTATCATTTTGTTCATCAATTAAACTTTTTATAATTAAACAGATGATGTATTTCAATAAGAAAACATTTAACGAATTGATGTTTGTATTTGAAGATCGAAATGTTACTTGGATTAAACAATTTCAACATCTAATTATATCTGATCAACGAGAACGTCAAACAAAAAATTTCTTTTTACCATTACCATTATTTCAATATAAAAAACAATTTTTTCACATTGACAAAACATTAACATCTTTGCGAGTTATTAATGATTTTCGATATTTAATTACACAATGTGGAAACGATAGTCGTTTAACATTTAGTCTTTATTCCTGGTTCATACAATATTATTCAAATATTTATACAATGAATGATAATGTAAACGTTAATGTAAATATTTATGTGAAAATGATAGAAGATCAACTCAAAGACGAATTTATTCTAAATTTTGAACCAATTGGCATGGAATTTATTACTAGTTTATGTAAAAATTTTAAAACAAATAATTCAACCTACTTTCAGTTATCATCAAATATGTCAAATAATGATGTTTATCTACGTGTAACAGTACTAAGAATATTTGCTTTATTTCTATCATCAAAATGTACAAAAAATGTTACATATTTAAATTGTTTATTATTTGATGTTAAAACAAAAAAAATGTCTAAAAAATATTTGCAACATTTACAATCAATATGTTTATTTGGATTATGTAGAATGGATCCTGTTGTTAAACAAATGGAACATGTTAAAAAGAGTGTTCAAGAACGATTAAACGAAAAGAAAATAAGTAAACAAGGTAAATTTATTTATCAATGTTCAAAAAATTGTTATTATATGTACTATTTTGAAAATTGTGGAATGGCTAATGATCGATCAAAATGTCAACTATGTGGTCTAGACATTGGTGCAACAGCATTAAATCAATTAATTGAACGTGATCCACCCCAAATTCAATTATCTATCAATAATGCTTTTAAACAAATTGATCAATATCTTATAGAATATGAAAAAAAAACTGAATTTGGTTACTATAATAAAACTCAAGCAGAATATTCACCAATTGATGAAACACCAAATCATTTGAAACCAATAACATACCGTTTATTAAATATGTTTATACAATCCATAATTTATTTGTTATACAATTTAAAATATCTTTCTGAAAATGATATGAATGAACTAGTAACATTGAATGATAGTGGTAATTTTATAAAGGCACATTTTGAAAATGATTATAAACTACTAGGAACTATTCTTTCGAATCATGACGATTTTCACATATGGATAGCCAAAATTCTTGAACATTTAATTACGATACAAGAAGAAAATAAAATTAATGGCATGTTAACAACAAATGAAAATCTTCATCATTTTGAAACATATTTTGAACAAAATATTATATTTCCTAATTTAAAATCATTGTCAAATGATATAAATCAATATAAAATTATGTACAATGATTTTATACGTGAAAAAAATTCGAAACCAACTATAAATGATTTTATTAATGAATTGGTAGAAAATGATGTCATATATCCATTCTTAAAATTTTTCAATGTTACAAAGGGCGGTAATATCGTCGATGTGGAAGAATTTCGAACAATTTTTCACTTAACACCACACAATGATATCATTTATCCTGTTACAAATTTTATACGTAATCGTCTAGAAGAAATTGAAAATTTAAATTATTTATATCCACTTATGAAACGCTCATCTATTATGTAATTACTTTTCCCCACTCCCTATCTCCCTAAGATCTCTTCTAATTGTGTAATCATTAAGAAAAATCTTCAATATTTTTCGTATTGTATTTTTAAAGCATTCTCTACTCATATAAAAATTTTAGTCTTGTAACTCTGAAATATCAGTGAAAAATACTATGGCATCATAGAATTTCAAAAAGCAGAGACTTTTTCCAGAACACTGGAGTAATGCTAATTTATGATCACTTTCCAGCTGCTTTCAAAAGATTGTTATCATGCCATTTCACTTGTGATTTTGTTTCGGCTGTTGAAAGTTTTATCCTGGTGTTTTTATTGTCCAAAATAGTATTTAAAGTATTATGATTCGAATTGATACGTATATTATCAACAGTCCTCTATGCAACGAAAGAAAATTAAAAGTAAAGGTGTTTTGTTTAGATGGGAAAAACAATCCAGTTACAAAATCAGTGCCAAAACTCAAATTTTACAAGAAGTAGTGAGAATTTGCCTTCTTCGTAAAACATCTTTACAATCGTTTTAAATTCCAAAAACTAACGCTTTTTATAGAAAATTAAATTCTTGAGTAATTGCTGCATTTGTCAGAATTTAGATCAAGAATTTGAAAATACTAAAATTGAGAGTGAAAGTCAATTTGTCACGGATTTTAAAGCCGATATTTGTAATCAGCGTACAAAAATTGTGTTCGTTTGTTGGAGCTGCTTTAAAGTTCTCCTGCGTCATGGCCGCATGGCTTGATAGTTCTGTTGATCGTCATGTGGTTCAAAGATGCTGTGTGCGAACCTCGGCGCCAGCAAAGTTATGTAATAGCCTTGGGAAAGTTACTTATGTCTTCGTGCCTCGGATCACTCGTCTGACAGGATACTCACTACGTTGTGGCGTACAATACAGCTTCTTTGGCTAGTCCTCGTAGCTTTTCGGAAAGCTAGTACATGGTTAGTGAAGTGTATATGGGGAAACTTTCGTTACTAAGAAATCCTGCAGCTACGAATAGTCCCATTTTGGTCCCTGTTGTGGCAATACGTTACAAACCACACTGGATGGAGCCAAACAAAAAATTTCCTCACCATACTTTCACAAGAACAGCATCTCCTAAAAGTTTGGTCAAGATCGGACTTACACTTTCAGAGATAGGTTTCTGACGGTGAAGGGCCTTAAAAAAAAACAAATTCTTTCATGCGTCCACACTGACGATCACCGTTAGCTGCGTAGGCTGTTGGGTAATATATGGACGTTCCCCTATCCATTTTACCAACTTTTTACTTCAAAAGTTTAATCATCGAGTCAATCGAGATATTGCATCAAGTACCACTCTTGAATATTATTTAAATAATAATATCACTGATGTTAATCAAGATTTTCATCGTCTTTATGAAAAATTTGTTGACTCATGGTATAAATTAAATATAAATCGTATCCAATCTTTTTGTCATTCACAAAAATTAGTACATCATACTTCTAAAGACGATTTTGCTAAAAATACAAAGATATCATTTTTTCTATTAAGAACAGGAGAAGATAATAGTTTGCTTTTGTTAGGATGTATTCGGACATTGGGTAATTTACAAAATGAAATATATCGTTATGTTCAAAATATTGTCGATCCAAATAGTCAACGAGAAAAATTAAAAACTAAACCAATACGAATACAAGATATTAGACCAGAACATCTGTTAAAATTAAACGAATCAATTATTAGTACAAAATTTCATGAAGATGCTGTTGTTCCGAATTATGAATATGGAAAAAGTAAAGATATACTCTATGATTTTGAAGAAATTGAAATAATGTTAAAGAATAAAGTTGGTGAAATATGTGAATTAGATTTAGATACAATGACCTATTTTAATTATCAATTTGAATTATATAATCAAGAAGCATCGTTGATTAACAATATACGACGACGAATAAAACAAGTGAAATTATCAAATGACGATAAAAGAAATTATTCTATTATTTTGTCTGAAATGGAAAATGATGAACTATGTAATTATCTTGGATCATTGGATTATGTATTTACTTATTTAACCAAGATTGTAACAGAAAATGGATTAAAAACAATACAAAAATTTGTTCAACAAACCATACCCTATAGTTCAACTTTAGATTCGAATGTTATTCGAGAAAAATCATTTTGTAATGTACAATTAAAATACATAATCAGTCTATATGAATTAATTGAACAAATTGTGTTTGATAAAGTTATAAAAAATCATTTGGCACAAATATTAAGTAAAGAAACATTTACGGATGAAGAAAGGGTTTTTGTTGTTAAACAGTTTTTACAAGCAACAATTCAAAATGAACGGGTACCAGAAGCTATCCAAGATCCCGGTATATGGATTATTGTAATGAAACGACTTATTGTACGTGTAACAGCCACTAACGCACATTTAGATGTTCCATTACAGCTGTATATACAGCGAACAGATTTCTGGAATGAGGATATATTAGAGTCAGATTTAGAAACAATTAATATTAACGAAAAGGTCGAATTAAAGGATAGTTATGTTATCTTGCTTTCATTAGAAGATAAATATAGAAGGCAGTCGACAGATACGACTGCTGCACAAATAAATGTAACGTTAGTAAATACATGTGCAACGGCACAGGGACAAGCAACAATAATGAGAAGTTACGGCAACAGCAACATTGCATCTAACACCATGATTACTGGAGGAACACAATCAAGAAAACCTACTAAGTTTCGATAGTAACAGATTATTTGAGGTTATCAAGCAGAATTTCCTTTCGAATCATTTGTTTCATCGAACCATGAGGAAATTCATTTGATATGCCTGTGTTATATTTTACTTTTATTTCTGTTGATATTCTGCTCATCTTATCCGAAAGATTTTGTAAAGAACGCTTTAAGAGACTGATTTCATTGGTCTTGAACCTCTCAAGAGCTATTCATAGAATGTAAAAGAGTAAATTTTATAGTATGAAAATGCATGTGCACTTCTATTCAAGAAAAATATTATTCACTTTGAACAAATATGACTTCATCCACGTCAATCACGTTTTCTTGATTTTTCAAGAAAGGAAACACGTGTTGAACTAAAATTGTGTCACGAAAATATTGACCGGTCCAGGATTCGCCTTTATCTCGCCTTTATCTAGAAATTCACTTCGTTCTATATAGGTGACAATAGTCTATCGGATTATTAACTATACCTGTTAACCCCATTTTTCACGAACTTTCATTTGGTATAAAATTCAATATTGATATCATTTGTCATTGGAGGTATACCCCTAGGCAAAACATTTCTCGCAACCCTGTACAATATTGATTTCGAGAACCCGAAAGATAAGTCAGCAGCTGAAGAACTTTTAGACTGGACGAATAACCTTTTGAAAAAGAAAAACCCTAAATTGTTCATTGTTAGCTCAAAGCTACAGAAATACTTAATTTAGGGCTCTTCTTATAAATTCTATAACTTTGCAAAGAAAGGTCGTGTAGAGCTGGGGAATGTTTCATTTTAATCAGAAATTTGTGCGCTACAATTCTGCATTGTTAAGAAAGGTATGGGTTATTTCCTACAGTTGCTGAAAAACTGGTTTTCCAGAAAACCGGATCTTTGAAGGGCTATGTGAAAGCCCCATGGTCATATTCGAAATTAGCATGATCGATAACCTATAACCCACTGGATTTCCATCAAAAAATCACCTTGTGAGGTTCCCTCGTTAGACCAAAAAGCCACCGAATTTTTGGAGCTTGTGAAACGCACATCCATCGATTGAATCAATCGCGAGTCTAGATGACTGCGAAGACTTTCTCTGTTTTCCTTACATAATTCTTTAACTCTACCTTTCAAAAGCATATTACCGTTGCGTTTCGCTTTCCACGATAACGCCCGAGCATAAGAAAGCTTCGTCCGACGTTCTTTGGAAATAGAGACTATATTTTTCTAGGAGTAGAAAGAAAGCGAACGAAGTTAGAGTAGCTTTCTTCCGCAGACGAATACTTAAATTGGTTAGATCAAAACGCACTAACAAAAGATAGAAAATAATGAAAAACCCCCGTGAATATTGCTACCAACAGATAATTCCTTTCCTCACAACTTATGACTTCTCAGACCGCTTTATGATCGCTCAAGGTAGTAGAACCAAAACATTGAAGTACTACAGATAGTCCAGAAACTAATGCAAAATCAATTGAACTATTCGAGCGTAGGGAGGTAGATTTATTCGTAAGAATAGAGAAATGTTTGCTCGGTTTTTTTCTCTCTGCATCAGTAATTTTTTTTAGTCATCTCTTTGAATATTTTCTGTCTTGTGTAAAAAATAGTTTTCTATTTTTTTCTCTTATGATTGGCTTATCCACAGAATATCCGACAGCCATTTTTTCGCTTTATGCGCACGCAAATAGGACTGGAAAAATATATTTCAATTTTTTTCTTTTTTGTGTTCGTTTCTATGTTGATTTTTCTTGTTCTAACTAGTCCATAACTGCATTTGATAAGAGGAAACGAGAAAATTTTGTGTGAAAAGAAAGGAAGAACAGAATATAAATAGACAAAACCAAAAATACAAAATCACATTCTAACGAAGAAGCCAATTTACTTATTATAAACACAGTAAAAGTGAATAGTCTAATAACAATGTCTAACAATCAAAAACAACAACAATCGGGAGGTGTTTGGGAATCACATTCATCATCAAGTAAAACAACGAAAGTTGATAATCAGCCATCTCAAACAGTTGGTAGCGAAGCGGATGCAAAAGGCATAATCGATGTAAGTATGTTATTTAATTTTGAACTTGTGACTGTTTAACGCGTTTTAAGTATCTTTTTCTGAAATAGCAAGGAAAAACGATCGTTACAGATTCACAAAAGGTTGGTTTTACGGATAAAGGACATCCTGGTACATTAGAATATTCGAAACAGTAGGGAGGAGAAGGACAAAAAGGTGTACAGCGATATACAATAACAATTACAACAATGAAAAACTAGAGATACTGTTGATACGTATGCATGCTTTTTCTATGTCATGAGGTTGATTCAAGTATGTGCTTATTATTTGTATGTTAAAGTGCTACGCTTCATGTACAATAAAACGCACCTTTATTCAATGTAAGCGGCCATCTTTCACATTCAAGATACAGCATGTTCCATTTTATTTAACAGCCATTGTGCTTAACTGACTACTGACGCAACAGAAAAACTGTTCAGTATGCAAGAATTTTGACTTTTCTTTCAGCCTCATACGAAGGCATAAACGTTATTAGTTAACTAAAATTTTCTGATTGAAGAATTGATGTTAAACTACCGAGTCATGATATTAACGAGAGAAATGTGCACTGACACCCGTGAGTGATTTTTACCTGAAGGAGTATACAAGGTTAGCTTTTACGATCAGGGGTTTCTCTATTGCAGCTGATTTAAATCACGTGTGCTGTAATGAATGATCATTTTAGGTTAACGGATGGTTCACACATATGCGAGGGGAGGAAGCTACGCCTTCCCTGCTTTTGATACTTATCGGTTTTCTCCAGCAAAAAGACTTTCATTTTTTTCTCAAAAAAAAGGATTACACAGAAAGACTGGAAAACTTTTATGAAAATGTTTTACTCATATTTTGATTGATTGTTGCCAGGATTATTAGGTAAAATGTTTTTCGAATCATTCGGAGTAACATAGTCCAAAAAGCGTTTTTCAAATTTGTTTTGAAACGACGAATTTCAAAGACTAAATAAATGCTGATTACGTGTAATTGATAAAGTCATTTCACTCATATCATGATTTAGATTTCAAGTTGATTAATAAATTTTCAAATTATACTTTATTGTGTTATTTATAAAAGAATGTCAAATGTTTTTTTGTAAAATTAAGATAAAGATATCCAATACGGGAAAGCAATCGTGGCTGTCTATAAACAAAAGTTTAAGTGTCCTCTCCCATCCCAGTTATATGAAGAATGATTTATTAGCTCCGTGAGTTTTTTCATCACAAATAGATCTCAGTCAGTTATGAAAAAGTTCTGTTAAAAGTATTCTTAGGCCTTCTATAGTTTGAATTTTCTAAAATCTATAACAGCGGAAAACGGCTTTTCATCATGGCAGTGTTTCTACCAGAAGAATTTGACATTTAAGGCTGAAATTTATACCATAAGTACTACTAAAGTAATATTAGATCTACTTTTTTGTTTTTAAAAATTATTTTGCTTTCATTCGGGACATGATGGTGCTCGTTTACACTTTTTTCTGTATCATTAATTAGTAGACTAGTACTAGACTCAAGTATTATACAGTAGTGATATTCTTCGTAATGTAAATTTATACGATAAAATGAAAGGTTAATGCCATAAATGGAAATTCTACACAACAGAATGTTAATAGATTTCTTCGTTATCATAATTTTCTAAATGTTCTTTGCAATTCGAGCCATTTGAAACGAATACAACGTACCGTGACCAAAATTAATGATACAACAACAAGCAACAAGGCATCTATATCTGTCGACGACATATCAAGTATAAAAATAAAATTCGAGCCTATATAAAGGGCGGTTCAGAAGTCCTGATCCGATTTCAATAATAAATTTTCCTATAGTGAAACAAGTGGTTGTACATCTATCTCTATGAAGAAAAGATGCAGTAAAACACGCTCTACAAAATAACTATTGATTGACCCCGCTGGCTCGTATAGTAAGAAAGTTATAAGCTTAGACATGTTCTTCACAAAAAAAGTTAACCGTGAACCTTCTTCGTATGGTAGTGCTTTCAGTAAAAGTCCCATAACTCTATCAAAACAAAACATTTTTCGATTGGGTTTATTTTGTTTTGATCAGAAATTATTGCTCTTCTCTATCTAACTGCAAAGTCAAACTTCGATCACGTTTTCTGTTTCTTACTTGGGCACATTGTCGGAAATGGGCGTTATCGATTTTTGAAACTTCATTCTCGAGCACACCATCTGCTCTAAAAAAATCTTTTTACAGGCCACGAGAAAGAACACATTGGAAAGTACCAAACACAAACTGAGTTCTCACTTTTCCTAAGCTTTTTTAATAGTAGAAGAAAAATTTCAAGTAGAAAAATGTACCAGATTTACAAAGTTTTCATTTTTTTGCCTTTCCTATAATTTTCTTAGTTTCCTTGATTGAAGTTCTGAAATTAAAGTTTAGGTATGATTTTGTAGAGAATTTTACGCCGCTTCTATTTAAAAAAGAATCTGCTCTACACTGCAAACGAGATGTGCATATTTTATTAAAAAAATTCACTTGAAGTGAATGACTTTTGTCTATTCACTCGCTGTTCACTATGTGTTGATGTATTTGCTCAATTTTTATGTTATGCACTGGAAATGAATGAACTATACACTAAAATGCCGCGTTTAGGCACATGTCAGTTACATCGGTAGTGCATAATCCACTGTATTTTCGTTGGACTTTCAAAGCATTGCAGTGCATAATGAGTGGATGGACAGTGCATCAACGCTGCCATTCACATACCATGCAATATTTTACGTACACTTAATGGCCATTTTCAGTGCATGGCCATTGAGTAAAATGTCTTTTCTTCTGTATAATGAGTCATAAGTGCTTTTTCCAACTAACCAGTATTCAGACAAGTTCATTTGACAACACCTTAGATTTATTACTTTATAGCTCACTTCTTGAGACATTTTTCTCTCCTGTTAGTCTCTTTCACCTATTTGACATTTCTCGCTATATCTGACTTCAGCTTGGTCGAAGAGGCTGAAATCGTACTGTTTTTCTATCTCTAATCAAACACAAAAACCATCTTCCGCCAAGCAAGATATAGCGATGAGAAAAATAGTACAATTTCTGACTTTTCGACTAAGCTGATGTCAGATGTTGAATGGGTGAAAGAGGAGAGATTCATCAGATCGATCTTAAAACCTGTTGCCGCACGTAACCTTACAATCATCTCATATTAACTTAGCACGAAACTTCGACGGATCACATCTTACCGGTCTTTTCTTCGGGATGTGATCCGTCCAAGTAATAATATCAGTCGTCGTTGAATAAAAAAAATATATCTGAAAGTAAATAATAAGCAGAAAGAATGAACTGTAAACAAAGAAAGGAAACAGGAAATCTTTCTGATTGTAGAATAGCCAAGAAGGAGAAAGCCCTGCTGCATACGAGAGCGTTTTTCAGTATCTAATTCAAGATGATCGAAAAGTAGGAGGATCGAAGCCTGTTCGAACAATAACTCTTGGTTTTAGTTTTTCTACATGCGCGCAACTATTGTGATTTGTTTCAAAGAAAAACGTCGCTAAAGCACTTCGAAATTTACCGTTTATGGCGAAGAGCTTTTCCGTAAGCAACGTTTCTTTC